AGGCACCCAGCGACAGGGGCTAGAAGCTAGGAACCCGGAAGTTAATTACTTCCGGGTTCACTGACAAACTGGATCGCAAGAACCGGTGCGAACCGGGAGAAACCCACCCCTGATTTAAACCCAAAAGTTGTTTTTCCAAAAGGCGACTGGATTTTCTTGTTTTTTTCCTTGGAAAATATTTCATTTCTCATCCAAGAAACTTCTTCAGTTCTGAAGTTCTATAGAAACTTCTTGGATGAGAAGCAAAACATTTTCACAGGAAAAAAACAAGAAAGTCCAGTTGCCTTTTAGAAAAAAGCACCTTTGGGACAACCATGACCTAGATAATTGAGAATCTTCACAGGCATTGGTCTAGACAACCAACAACTCAGACTGAAGATAGTAATTAATAGAATTTTCCTTAAAGAAGGTTGAAATAAACATTCTCTCATTATACAGAATCTGACATTTTTTAATGTACTCCATTTCCCAATTTGTTATACTTATTATTAAATTATTAACACTGAGATGAAGTAAGAAACAAAAACCTGGTATACATCTTGGTGCTATGTACAAATTATTCCTTCACACTCAGATGGAGTTTGCCATTTCATATTAATTATGGATAGTCTAAATAAAAATGTGATTGGCTAAATCATACAGATGTGATTTATTTGCCAGACCCCCCAAAAAACAATTTCATTTTTAAAATCTCAAATACATTTTAAGTAAAGTCAATATAAATTTCTAAATTAAAAAAACAACAATGTGATTTATGAAATACATAGAAAAGGATAATGATCAGGACATTGATTAATTTGAAAATTAATTATAAGTCCTTTTTGGTAGGCATTCCAGCCAATGTTATGAAAACAGTACTTACCACAATTTTAGCTGGATCTGCCACCAGCATTCCTTGGAAAACCTTGGAGAGATCCCTTAAATTAAATGTGTAATGAGATTTTGCTGGAGTGGGCAACAGTTGGGATGTGATGGTTGAATACACGTATATCGTAGCATCAACGAGAGGTTCATTTAGATTTGCTATTTGAGGGCATCCATCTAAAAGAAAAAAAAATTGATCAGTCTTGCAGGGAGGATTTCTCAAAAGAGATAAAATGAATATTGGTTGCATAATAAACCTGGCATGGGACAAAGCAAGATAATTATTTCACAAACAGATTATTACCTTTATTCCTGAATCTATATTATACCAAAACTTTATTTGTTGTTCAATGCTCTTTTCAGTCTGTCTTAAAGCTGCTAACATTGTACTTGGTCATACCAAATTGGAATTCTGCTCTTTTCTCCCCAATCCTCTCTAGTTAACTTATTTCTTTCTTGGTTCATTTGATATTCATGTTTATCAACATGATTAATAACTAGTATTTTGGAAAATGTGGTTCCATTTCTGTGGTCCACTTCTGGTCCCCCCCCCTTTGTTTAATAGATATGGTGAGTAGTCAAGGGAAAAAGCAGTCAGTGCAACATCCCTAAGAGTAGACCGTGTGATGTCTGCTTGTTTGTTTAAAGTATTTATGGATAGGCATATAAGTAATTCTTGTGCTGATGGCAGAGATTTGATGACATGACTTATGCATATGACTTAATTTATAAAGGACCAAGGTATTTATTTTTGACAGGGAAAATGGAGTGAATAATTGCTTCTTATGCATAAATGGTGAAAAAAACAGAGTCAACAGGGGAATGTGTGCATCTTGGTAGAATGTTTCTTAAATGGGATATGAATGAAGAAATTTTAAGACAGGAAAATACTAACAAAAAGAGAGTGCATATAATATGGTTCAGTGTGAGGGATGAATGTTTGTTGAAGGAAGAGAAAATTTACATTTAAGAGCATGCTTCTGCCCTCTTTGTGTAGGGAAATGAGAGCTGGTTATTAGGAGAAAGAAAAAAGTACATTGAAATGCAGTGGGAATGGGTTGAGTGTGTGCGCTAAAACAAAAGAGAATAAAGAAAGGATGAACTCTGAAGGAGAGTGCACTGAATATAAACATGAGGAACAGACGAAAGAAGTATCTTAAGATGGTTTACTCATATGGAGAATGAGGGAGGGTGCAAATCAAATATACAAAGGAAGATAGAAAGGAAGGTCAAGACAAAGTGGAAGTTACAAAAAGTCACTGTTGGATTGTGTTAATATAAACCTGAAAAAGGGAATTCTAAAAAATCTAAAGAATAAAAATCCATAAAGTATAAAATATGGAAAAACACAGGGATATTATAGAAAGATCACCGGTTCAAGGTTGACTCAGCCTTCCAGCCTTCTGAGATCGGTAAAATGAGGACCCAAATGGTTGGGGGCAATATGTTGACACTATAAACTGCTTGGAGAGGGCTCTAAAGGACTGTGAAGTGGTGTATAAATTTAAGTGCTACTGCTATTGCTATTTATAGGAAGATATGGAGAGGTTTGATATATTATGTTATTATAAACAAAGTTCAGGTACATATGTCATTCTTATTGTATCACTACAGTGGAATGAGACAACTGGGTGTGGCCAATTCTCCACAGCCAACTCGTCATGGCCTATTGGCCCAGTTGTGGCAAGACAATTCTCTGTGGCCAACTCACCATGGAACAACTCATTGCAGGACAATGTAACAATTCAATTTAAATATTTAAAATAATTAAAAATTATTAAAATTTTTGTCATTCACATTTCATTTTGTTCCTCCTTTTGCATCCTGTCTTTAATGATGCTCTTCCACAATTTATTTGATATTAGTGTAACTCTTGTCCTGTGGCAAATTGTGCCATGGCAAATTGGCTGCAGTGAGGTGGCTGTGGTGAGTTGGCCATGTCGAGGTGTCCTAGACCCCACTACAGCATGAGTTTCACCTACTATTTTTGATAAATGCTTCCTTTTCTTCCTTCTTGAAATCTTGCAATATTTCAAGTGAGAACACACGAGATCTGGTGACTTTTCATTATTATTATAGTTTAGTACACAGTCAGCCATTTCTTTAGAATGGATTTGGCATTTTATCCACCTACTGACTCCTTCCCAAGGACCTGGAATAGGCAGATGTTGTTTAATGGTATTAAAGGTATAATCACAGGATGTAAGCTGTTCCAAGTGAGGCAGCCTTTTGCAATTGACTGATGATGATTTTGTCAATATCAATAATGTTCAAATTGTGCTCCAGCTGTTTTGAGATTGCACATAAAATATGTAATGCAATGGGAGTGTCTTGGCTTTCTTTTGCCACAGTCATTCTACTTCTATTTACAGGTCTTTCTATTTTGTGATTCTCTCATTTACTTTCTCTTTTCTCTTATTTCCAGGTATTGCAACATCCAGATTTAGTTGTCTTTCTTTTCAATAATTATTAAGTCTGGAGTATTATATGACAAGTGCTTGTCTGTTTGAATACTTAATTCTCAGAGCACTTTAACTTCTTCATATTTTATGATTTTGTCTATTTTGTGGTCCCACCACGTCTTATTTGCAGGGAAGTGTGATATTTCTTGCAGATAATGCAACAGTGATGCTGCTTTGTCATTCTGTTATTTGGAATTAGTCTGGATTATTATTTTTATATTATAATGATATTGCTATTATCGTACACAAACTCCTTGCTTTCCTCTAATGAAACGCAAATCTGAAGGATAACACTCAAATTTTAAAAATAACTGAAACAGTATCACTAATATAATTCATATCTTAAATTACTTACGGACTGGCTCTCTGTAGCATATTTCTCCTAGTTTTCCAGCTAAAGACCAAGAAAAAAAAATAAAAGTTTATTTTTTTTACAAAAAGTTCCATCTTCAAAATAGAAATGAGGGAAAGTCATTTTGCTTCAAGGACAGTCTGTCTTGCTAGGAAACATGTTGACCCTATCTGGAAAGTTGATTTTTTTCTCTTAGTTCTGCTCTTGTTTTGCAACGCATCCCAATATTTTTCAGCTTTTGGGTGCAAACAAGCTTTTGCTTCAATTTCAGCTACAACCTAAATCTGTTAGAGAAGTAAAGCAGACTATGAACCCAATTTTTATTATTTCGAGCAAGCTTTGTAAACCCTGTTGAAAGACATTGTTCAGACTGATACTCTTTCTTTTTATAGCTCCAATTTCTGATTTAATAGAAACAGAAGCAGTGGCACTCAGTTGTAGAAATCTTCCTAGGTAAGAATGTGCACGCTATATATAATGAAAATGTAGAGGAAAACATTCGCTAAATGGGAGCAAAATAATTTTTATTACTCCAGGAGCTATGATGCTCAAAGGATACTAAAAATTTTAGGTGCTATTTTTTTAAAAAAAGTAAAAAAAAAATCTTTATGGCTATTGAAAAATTTATGGTAGGGGTTTTTATTTTATTATTTGTATCCTGCCTTTACAAAGGAATTAAGTTGGTGAACATTTGCACCTTCTTGCTTCTACTTTCTCCACAAAAACAACCTTTCAGTGCTCTGAAGCCAATGGAAGCAAAGGTGATTACAGATTGCCTTCAAACCCATTTGTGTGAGATTGGGGAGTGGAAGAGCCAAGGTGGCGCAGTGGTTAAATGCAGCTCTGCAGGCTACTGCTAGATCAGCAGTTCAGCGGTTCAAATCTCACCGGCTCAGGGTTGACTCAGCCCATAATTACATCCTTCCGAGGTGGGTAAAATGAGGACCCAGATTGTTGGGGGCAATATGCTGACTCTCTGTAAACCGCTTAGAGAGGCCTGAAAGGCCTATGAAGCGGTATATAAGTCTACTGCTATTGCTATTGCTAAATAGAGTACAGGTTGAAGTGTCCTCTCCCTCATAAAGACAAGAACACATTGTTTATCTTGTACTTACACACATATGTCAGCATCTCGGATGAGCAAGAGAAGATTGTAGAGAAGGGAAGTTTTAAGCTGCAATCCCCTCTTCATTACCTAGCAGCCAGCAAACAGGGTTAGCTGATGATTCAGGAAGAAAGTATTTTTCTTCTTCCTTACTATGTGCTCGAAAGGCAGAGCAGGTAGTCTTTGTTTACTGACTGCAGTTGGGACAGGGACTTAGGTCCTGAGGTGATGCAATCGCTAAGTGAAAAATGACCACCACCATGCTTACAAATGCATAGAGGACAACACACAGTAACTCACTGTAATGGCAAACACAGAACTGAGAAAGAGAGAAGGTATGGCTGCAGTTTAGGGGGCTAGAGAAGGCATCACAAAGATCTGAGTCTCCCCCCCGCCCCCCAATGGCCTGAAGAGGAGGCTTTTACATCAGCTTGCAAAAGGATGTTGTTATCAGAGGTGGGTTCCTACTGGTTCGGACTGGTTTGGCCGAGTAGGTAGTAACTCGGTCTGCCACGCTCTTGAACTGGTTCTTTTGGCAGCGCCGTAGGCACCGCCATTTTGTTTTTTGCTTCTGCACATGCATAGAATCATTTTTAGTACTGCACATGTGTGTATCAAGTGTGCGTGCAGCGCGTCCCTGAGCAAACTGGCAGTAGCAGCAGCTGGAACCCATCCCAGCTTGTTATGCTATTCAGGTCTTGCAAATGGCAGAATGTGGGAGAGCTCTTAATGACCACCTATATGTTCTATACATTGTGGACTTAACATGAGTTTAGGAATCCAGGAAACTTAAATATCTTTTTTTACAGTACATATCTCTACACATCCCTCTTGAGGAGGACTTTCCTCAAGTCCATAAAAACTTGATATTATGTAAAATGTCTAATTTTTCAATGGCCTGATTTTGCCTCTCACTCAGTTAATATTCCATACAATAAGAATACTGAATAGATAATCTCACAGTTACCTGGCAGTATCTAATAATATTCTGTAAAAAAGATAATAAATAGCATATGACCACTTGTAGATTCTGTTATGATTTCACTATCTGCCCTAGACAGGACTAGCAGTCCAAATATCAATCTCTTGGAACATCAGGATACACCTCTGTAAAGCTACAGATCACCTAATAAGAGAGATAAGAAAGAGAAAGAATTTGCTTCACATAACCCACCCATCCAACTGCCAAGAATATTGGAGAATATTTTCTTCTTGCTGCTGTCTTCCATCTCAGTGAATGAGAGAAAGTTGAAGTGCCGTGTGAGGCGTGGTGTAACTGCATTTCGTCCACCTCCTGGTGGTCCCATGGCACCAATAAAGTTAATATCCACTAATTTCTTAAAGACACCTGAAAACGAGTAAAATTATGCCAAGATTAATGAAACATTAACATTAAAACACAGACTCCAGCAGACAGATATATAAGTATACCAGTGCAGATTTAAAACTGATATGCCTGTTGTGAAAAACACACAGTGTTTTGTACAGAAATTAGATACAGAACTTGTATCTTACCAATTTGTTTCCTATCGTACCAGCCTTTATGATCCATCCACTGCCGAATAAGCTCAATGGGTGGCTGGGCACCATAGGTTTCTAAGGCTGGCATGTTCAGATCATCAATGAAAAAAATAAAATACCGGCCAAGCGGGGGCCCAAAAACTCCCTTACGCCTGCATTTAACAAGACAAAAATAAAAATTACTGGGTAGAATACATGAAAATCCTTGTAGGAGATGTATTTATATATATACATATATCATATTTAATATAAATAGTTTTAAATATTATTTAATAAACTGCCAATAATATGTTTAATATATATTTAATATATTCTTGGCAGTGTACAGAAGGTATAATAAGGCAAAAAAATAAAACATTCATTGTATAGTTAAAATTAAACAACAAACAATCTTAAAACCTTCCTAATTAAATGAACAAAACAACAAAAACGAAACTAAAAGGGTAAACGATGAAGAAGGCTCTTCAAGAGAATTCAATTTCCTGAAGTCCAACAAAGAGGGGATTAGCCTGATCTCTAATGGGAGGCTATACTCTGTGCTGCCATGGCTCTGCAGAATTACTGGTTTATGCTCCCAGTGCCAACAGTAAGAATCTATTGTAAGTGAAAAGTGATTTATTGCTCAGATACTTCACACAACTTAGAAGTATTCTTAGTACAGAATTTCTGCAGTTTTCCCACATTTCTTAATAACACCATGCCCCTCGCTAGGGTAGGTGTAAGTTATATTCACAATTTTACAGAAATGCATGTCATACAAATGTACTATAAACAATTAATGTCATATATAATGTTGTTTGAATGCACATCCATAATCATGTGTTTTTATCACTATGTGATTTGATTAAAAACAATTCTGAACAGTAAGAAATAATATTATAAACTCAGTGATAATTATTGATACAACGGGTAGGCATTCCAGGGGCTGTATTTATTCCATATTCTTTTGACCATATTATTAGCTTCAAAGTTTCTTTTTGCCACAGATCATAGGAGAAAGCCATTCCTTAATATTTTGTTTCTTACTTCAAACTTTTACATTATAGTAGATCTCCACTTGCAATAACAGCACTAAAAAAGGTAATTGATGACCATTTTTCACACGTACGACCATTGCAGCATTCCTATGTGACCAACATTTGAACGCTTGGCAACTGTTACTTGGAACCCTGACACAAAGGCAATGTGGAAGCCAGATTCACTTAACAACTATGTTACTAACTGAACAATAGCAGCAATTCACTTAACAGCTATGGAAAGAGGCAATGAAATAAGATAAAAGTCACTTAACAATTGTCTTGCTTAGCAATGGAAGTGTTGGACTACTTAATTGTGGTTATAAGTTGCAGACTATCTGTAAGCATTTTAGCAGATTTGGAAAGCAAAGTTAACTAATATATGTAAAAACAGATAAATTAAACAGGAAGAAAATTAGAGAATTGTTTTGGGACAGAGTACCTTTTATCCAGCTTGCTGTCAATGAGATCTTGTGTTTGGTTGGCTGAGGTTCGAGCAGAGAACATCAGAAAATGGCTGATATATTCTAATGGCAGGTTCTTCAGTAGCTTGTCTGCTATAGTAAGAGTTTTTCCAGTTCCTGTGGGACCAATACAAAGAACCTATATAAGGGGGAAAAATTGTAATTATGTATTGTGGGTACACTTGCCAAATATACATTTTTTTCCCAAATGATGCTTAATTGAAACATTTTGCCCAGTAAAAGTCAGATAAAAGATTAAATAACATTTAGATTACAATGCCAATCACAAATGCAAGAATAACGCACTAACAGTAGTCATATTTCTGGCTACTTGATAAAAGTGCTTCCAATACTGTGCAACAGAATGCTTGCATTGGTATAATGCTAGGTTGTACTATTTAAAAATCATTACTCAGACATACCGGTTTGTGATTAGTCAGTAACATTTCTAAGAGATACGCCATTTGGACAGTGTTCATTGTAGGTACAATAATATCACAATAGCTGCTTTCAGGCATCATTTTAAACTCTGTAGAAGAACTCATCCAATTCTGCCAGGATACCTAAGAGAGATGGAGGTATTGATGAAAAAGAGAGATTATATAGTTTAAATTATCCTGTATCGGAGGTAGAAATGGACTTGCAAGTTATTACCCTTCTAGCTACAGTGATACAAATACTTAAAATACTATTGTGCCATTGGAAGAATGATTGGCCCTCATCAAATTAATATTAGTCACAATAAGCCCAATTGGAAGTGGGCTGTACTGACTCTTCCCTAAATACTGCTTTATCCAAATTGAGGATTTCTTGTCAAGGAAGATTTGAATTTGGGAAGCAGAGAAATAAAATGTAGATGGGACATGGAAATGGGGATGTGTGTATGAGTGACTTTACAATAGAAACAATCCTCCTTCCAGTATACTTTGAAAATGAAATTATGAGAAGATATATTTTGGAAGGAAATGCCATCTGGAACACTGTTTTTGATGCCATTAGCACCATCTCCACAGCTTAATCAAAGAGACAGGAAGAGATATTCCTAACATAGTAAGTTTCTGAGGCTCCACCTCTACCTCCACTTCTCCTGAAACAAGCAAACAATCAACAACAAAATCACTATATCCTTCTCATGAACTATCAGAATTACTCCTTCAATTTTATACCTACACGTACCTAGATGCAGGTGCGCTGATACCACTTGGGATCTATCAACACTTCCTCCTACACTGGTGAAATCTTATGAGGTGTGTGATTAAACCAAACAAAAGGGAAAGGGAGGAATTAGGGAGCTATGCACATGGACTGAAATATATTCTTAGCAGTAATGAATGGAGGCTAGTTCTTAATACCTATTTTATAATTAGCAAGGCTACCTCCAGCTAACAGCCTCCCCCACCCTTTCTCTTTCTTTTGTTTTTTTCAGCCCCTAGAAAAGATTGTAGTGTTAAAACTATGTAGTCAAGTGCTGAATAATGGTAGTGTGATTTCTGGCTAATTTCTTTCCCTATTTTCCTCTTTATTTTTGCAAAACAAAAATAGAAATGATAAAGAATAACAATACAAGATGAAAACAGCACTTAATGCTATATAAGTGTCTCAATGGTCTTAAAATTCTCTTTCACTGTTTTTAAAATATTTTTTTCATTGATGTTATATATAATTTTTTTCATTGATTTTATATATAAAATTTGCCAAAGAATATGGCTCATGTGAATCCTGGTTGATATTTATGTCCATTTGCCTTTCCAAAATAATATCCAGAAGTCATAGGATTCCAATCTTTAATTACATTTCTACTTCTATAAAATCCTGTATCTTCTCATTCATGTAGCACCAGCTCTCTGGAATGTGATGTCTGAGATCCAGGTGGTTCCCACCCTGATAGCATTCTAGAAGGAAGGCCTTAAAAACCTGCCTATTCTCCCAGGTTTGGCTAGGGTGACTGGAGAACATTTGTTAGGCACATGATTGATTGTGTGGACTGGATCAGCCATCGGTTTATTGCTATGCTTTTATCTGGATTGAATATTTGTTGTTCTGTTTTTATTCTGTAAACAACCATGAGTCAATTGGAATCTGATGATGTCTAAGTTAAACAAACAAATAAAATCTCTGACAAACAGGCCCTTCTTCCTATCCTTCAGGAAATGAATGAAAACCTGGTTGTTTTACCAAACCATGGGAGCTGGTTGGCTGGAACTATTCTTTCTAAGGATGAACTGATTTTATTTGTCTGAGTATGTCTCATTTTTTTAATCGCAAATACGTATTGGGAAATTGTACTATTAGTCAGATTACAGCAGCCTACAAGTCTGGAAAGGAAGGAAGGGAATCAAGAGGCTTGACAATACTTTTGGCAGGGAACTACAGACTTAATAGATGCAGCCATTTAACACATTACTACAAAGTTGCTACAACATCTTTACATTCTCCTGGTGTTTTATAACTTCTAATATTATTCAGGGTCATTTAGTTATTTGTCCAATTTATTTATAGTATTTAGATTATGCATTGTAACATTAATTGTAAGTTTATAGGGTACTTTTGTTTTAATACCCTCTCTCTGTAATTTTACCCTAACAATTTCATCTTTACCTCATTTTATTGTATCAAGAATTTAATGTTATTTCTATTTTAGTGTAATTATTACTTCTACACTGGTCTTGACTCTGTCCCTCAAAAGGAGGGACAGAAATGTGTATGTTGAAACAACACAATAGCACCAGGATGCTGTACCATATTTCATGCACTTGAGTCAGGAGTGCTGAGACGCTCACAGGTTGAAAGGATTAGCTGGTGACATCACCATTGGCCTGGGGATGCCCAGTTGGGGCTCCGAGAGGAGCCGGAGTGAAGGAAAAGAGCTCAACCCCGTGCCATGGCAGCTCTCAGATCCCGAAGGTGGGCTTGCTAATGTATTGTCCAGTATTCCAAGCTCTCAATCCACTGTGTTCCTGAAACATATTTGCTAAGCAGGAAAGAATAAAGAAGCTTCATATTAAGGGAGCAGGCCTGGAGCAAGATTACCAACCTGAACATCTTTCTTGGTTTATCCAAGCAAGTCATCAGGAACTTTGGAAGTGTTTTATTTTCCAGAGGTTTCTTGTTAGCTTGAAAATAAGGCATTTTCTTCTCTATTTTAGAAGCTTAGAATAGAAAGTTTGGTGGCAAATGTGAATAGAATGTGGTTGCTAGAGCTCTAACTTTCCCTTGTTTAACCTCGGTTGTTGGCTTTCTTTAAAACACTGACAGAGAGACCTTTATTTTACTTTACTAAAATTTAGGATTGGTTATTTGAAATGCTGCACAGTTCTGCCCTACTAATTATTGCTTCTATTGGTAGGTATAACTGACTCATTATTATTTTCAAAAGCATTTCCAGTAACAATTTGAAAATAAATTAAACTTGTACTGTCAAATGCTTTAAAAACCTGAGAGGAAAAGACAGTGACATTTTAGTATAAATGTTATGTTATTTTAAATTTAATAAAGTCCATTCTATTTTGGAGTAGTACTTTGGAGCAATGTGTATTGTTTATGAATATAATTAAACCTTTCATTGATATTGTAGTAAACATATTTTAAAAAATAATTTAACAAGGCAATAGGCCAATATGATTCTGTGAAGAGTATTTGATTTGAGAATAATGAAAAATTGAATTTATTTTTAAAAATCCTGAATTTTTGCTCCTGAGAATATGGTGTTATGTAACAAATACAGATCATTTCCCCATTAGCATAGCATCTTTTAAAGTCATTCAGTCCATATTGTACCAAAGTTTCAGCAAAAAAGGGTAGATTTCTAATATTTCATTTATGACAGGATAATGCTGTAAGACTCATTTTAGGTGAGATACGTGGCAAACAAATTAAATAAATGAATAATTAAATGAATAAATAATGAGCTAGCCATTTTTTTCATTTACAATGTTTCCTGTAAGTCTATTTGTCCTAAAGTTGGGAACTTCCTAAGAAAGTTACATTATGACCAAAGAGGCAATTTCACATGGGTGTCCCAAAGGTGAAAAAGCACCTTTGGGACAACCACGACTGGGATGACTGAGAATCTCCACAGACACTTCCACATGGGTTTTTTTGCATTATTCCATCATCATATAAAAGCTTTTGTGATCTCATACTGTCATATGTGCTTGATAGATGTGTCTATTTATTTCTAGCTCAGCTGCAATGTATGTGAAATCTGACATATCAAGACTTATCCATGGGCCATTTCTTCACCATCAGTGGCCTTTGCTTTACCTCAGTTCTTGATTCCTGGTCTTAACCTAGCTCAGTGATGGGCAACCTTTTTGGCGTGGTGTATCAAAAATCGGCAAAAAATCGAGCATAACTCGCGTTGTGTGTCACTTCGACA